TATGACGTCGAATTTTCTTGCTTTCCTCTGAATTTCCTATTGTGACGGCATGAAAAAAGGCGACCATGCCTGATGACGTCACATAGAAAGAACACATCTTTTTGCAGATCATTCGAAAAGAAGGAATAAATTTGCCTGCGTAATGTTTGAAAATCATTAGAGAAACAGATTCCACCACCAAATCTCGTGTAATACGATATTTATCCACTCTTGACAGTTAAATTTTAAATATTTAAAACGCTCGGCGAGCCTCGCGTTTTAAATTTGAAAATTTAACTGTCTCGAGTGGATAAATATCGTATCACACTCGATGCAGTGGTAGAATCTATATTTCTCTAATTCTTCGTCAATTTATCCCTTTCTGCACCCATTGTATAAAAAAATTTAATCAACGTGTGGTTCGTTTGATCTCAGTTCTTCATTGGTTAAAATCCGATTATGACGTCGAATTTTCTTGCTTTCCTCTGAATTTCCTATTGTGACGGCATGAAAAAGGCGACCATGCCTGATGACGTCACATAGAAAGAACACATCTTTTTGCAGATCATTCGAAAAGAAGGAATGAATTTGCCTGCGTATTGTTTGAAAATCATTAGAGAAACAGATTCCACCACCAAACCTCGTGTAATACGTATTTACCCACTCTCGACAGTTAATTTTTTTAATATTTAAAACGCTCGGCGAGCCTCGCGTTTTAAATTTGAAAATTTAACTGTCTCGAGTGGATAAATATCGTATCACACTCGATACAGTGGTAGAATCTATATATAACGTATACTATTGGTTGCTGTACTTCGTGCTGTTAAATTTCATACAGCAACGTCATGAACAGGACGGGGAATATAGTATATTGCACTATTCAATGAACCAAACTGTAGGGAATTTAACGGGGGGAAAACACCAAAAGAAACATTAGTCCCATTTGCATTTTACTATTTCATGTTTTCCGTCGCATTTCTTACCTTACACACTGTTCTTGTTTGACTTTAAGAAAAAAAGAACAAAGAAAACTTATTGAAAACAAACTGAATGAAAATATTATATATAAGCAGGTGCCGTTTGAACTGAAAGATCCGAAAAATAAAACTGAGACCACATACTATTACTAACAATACTAGTTTATATAATTGTTTTATCCTGCAACCAGTCAAATATTGTATACACATATTGATTTTTGCTTTGGTTCCTATCTGCGGTCCGCGTTTAACCATGTTGATTTCTCTATATAAAAAAACCCTTAGACAATAAATCGGAATTAAAAAAACTAAACGTCAGTGCCTGGGTTAAATTGCAGGATAAAAAACAATAGTGTACAGTGTCGGAAAACATTTGGTTCAATTGTTCTACAAAACAATAAAAATACTTGGCAATCCTCGCTTTTCACTTTGCTGTTTCTATAAAAAAAACATATTATAAAGTTTTATATTTCCCGACCATGTGCATTATTGTATTTATAATTGCCAGTGCTTAATATTCATGATATGCTGTAAACAGGATACAAATAAACTAGATAGATATAGAAATGACTGTTTCCTGTCAGAACGCATTCTGTCAAAAACAACTTTTCTTGGCTTTATCAGTTTATTGATTGATTCGTATTCATGAAGCATATGATTCGTATTAAGCATATTCATAATGAATTGTATTTCACAATTGCATGTTGTCAAGTTCATAAGTGAATTACATGCACATCTATGGTAATCATAACTTTGCAAAAAAAAAATTCGTAACATCTTCATGCTCTTACAATTAATATAGACTTTTTTAACAAAAGGGAAAGATCTTGTCCAAACTAACAGATGTTCTTTGCAAAAAAAAATCTAAACTGAAAGCAATGTATGTATAATTGGAAAGGGACTGTATATTTTGGACAACTGGTTCTCATTTAATTCTAACGTAAGAACATTCGGAAGTTTGATTATATTGGTGCTTAATCAAATCACACATACATAATTGTAATTCCTTTCATTATTTCCTATTGCGCGTGTTGGTTTTGTGTCATGAATTGATGTGTGTACCTTGTCACATCTTTGTGCATCAAACATGGGAACATAGACATTCTAAAATTCGCTTATATGTGTGTACCTTGTCACATCTTTGTGCATCAAACATGGGGGAACATACACATTCTAAAATTCGCTTATGTGTGTAACTTGTCACATCTTTTTGCATCAAACATGGGAACATAGACATTCTAAAATTCGCTTATGTGTGTACCTTGTCACATCTTTGTGCATCAAACATAGGAATGTAGACATTCTATAAAACTCGCTTAAACCGTTCGGCTTTCAAGAGGGAGTAAAACCCATATAGTCAATTATAGAATGCCCTACATGACAAAATTTTAAACAATTTAAATTTAATAAACCAACGGCCTGGACCCTGATTTATGACTTAAAAATAACAAAGGAAAAACAAATATGACAGGCAGCAACCTACGACAACCACTGAATTAGAGAACACTGTCTTTCAAAAATCCGAATCTGCTTACATTTACCATGTTTACTGTCTGTGTTAATCAGATATGTTGAAGATGTTTGAAAATTGGTTGAATGCGAAATTGATAAAAAAAATATCTCAATAATGTGAGGTACTTGTGATTATATATACAGTATGTGTGATGGCCTGGGATTTTAAACTGTAAATTATTAAATTTTTGTTTGGGAAAATCAAATATTTTGACCTCGAAAAACTCTGAAGTCGATATATGCTCATATGGTGCAGTAAAATTAGTACCGTTATATATATATATAATTATTACAATCATGTAACCTTTTTTTATAATTTCTAATAAAATGAAGAAATCAAATACCAAAAAATCGTTTGTCAATCACGCAAAGGTGCCCTAATACACGATATTCGACTGCTGTCTCTTTTTTTTTTTTTTGGGGGGGGGGGGGGGGGAGGGGGGGGGGAGGGGGGGGGGGGTGGGACGATATCAGATTTCTTTATCCGTGCATGTAACAGAACAAATCATTGAGATACATATGTAGACAGTAGGATTACTCACACCTAAAAAAAGAAGTACATTTTTTTATAACACGGATATAAAGGATTGTTTTACATTTTTACAACAACTTGGCTCCCTCATTGTTATGAAAATAAGGAATAAGAATGTTAAGGTCGAAGGAGTTGTGTTTAGATTTATTCAATTTAAGAAACAGACCCTACTATAAAAATGGTATCAGTTAATCCTCTGTTAATAATACCTATTCGTTTTAAAAGTTAACTGAAATAGCTGAAACCAGACGTTGCATATGCATACATTTAACTGCTGGATGGAAGACGTCAGGTCAGGTGACAATATTTCTTAATCCCTGTCAACCTGGCATTTTTATATAAGATATATATTTTTTTAATATAAGTATCTTTTTGTAATTTTTTAAACTTTATCTACAAAAACAGGTTTTTTTTTTGTGAATAAATCGAATAACCCCATAGAAACGTTTCAGACAAGAAATAAATGTTCTAGGCCCTCAAAAGCTAGGGCATCGACTACCCATCCCAACCTTTTTTGAGTTATTCAGATTTATTATTAATAACATTTTATTTGTTATTTCAACTTATTTTTTACCTATGTGTGTGTTCTTGGTCTTATCCAATAAGAGTAGTTTATATACCCTCCCTTTCAAACATGGTAAACTACTTTTATTGTAAGATTGTGTAAATAAGAGTGAACGATAAGTTCATATTAGGTTTGAAAAATTAAGGAAAAGTGGGGTCCATTCACCAAATCCCTGTGTCCAGCCATCTTATTTTGCCGATTGCGGATTTGAAATTGTAATGGCAGCCGACAATATTAACACTCAATAATGCCATAACATCGTAAACTTTTATTCTGAGAAAATGGAAATGTCATAAACTGAAGGAAACGGATTATTGGCAAACTACAGATTCGAAATGATAGTGTCAAGTAAACAGTTTCCTGTCATAATAATTATGTGAGAGTATTGCGTAATACTGCGAGTTGTTTTGTCTATATTGATTTATAAAGTTTACAATAATCCTGGTGTCGCCTGTATCAATGCAGAGAAATATATTTTCAATAAAGGGAATGCTGTTACTGACTCTTTATTCAAGAGGTTGAATTGCATAACAACAAAACTTTCGTTGTGCATTCATTTAAGAATTGAATGCTTATTTTTGTAAATTCATTGGGGTGTAAAAGCGTTGACCGTAGTACATTTTGTATGAAGCGCGGAAGCGCTTCATTCTAAAAATGTACGCACGGTCAACGCTTTTACAACCCTATGAAATTACTAAAAGAAGCATTCAATACTTATAATTACATTTTTTTCGCTATGATCATGCAAACACGATTACTATCATTTTTTTTCTATTACTTACCTGTGCATTTTATGGTGGAAACGTGTGTCATCATGTATGTTACAATTCATGAAATTCATTTTTGAAATAGAAGAATGACGCGAGATTGCTGTTAGCCAATCAAAATAACGTATAATAATGAAACATATATCTAATGTAATTATATACGATTGTATGCTATGATTTGCCTGGTCGCAATAAGAATAACCATCTTAGCCCTCGTCACGGTATAACCTAGCTAGCTGTTGCGCTATAAGGCGGCATACACCAAACATCAATCAATGCACACAAGACTTGGTCAGGAATTGTCGCGTCTCTTTTAGATATTATAAATTCAACAGTGTTTACGGTTCTCACTCATAGTCTGAACTGAGTAAAAATATTCTTTTATGTCTTTATCAATTTTCGTCACAGTGCAAACAGAAAAAAACAAGACTGTCATTGGCAATCCAAATTTGCCCGTCCTTGATTCTGGTTGATAAGTTTTACATAACAATCCCATTGGATTTATTGATGTTTTGTACCCGACTTGAATTTGCATGAAATATTTGCCACTGGACGTTATCCAGACAATCAACCAACAGTTACTTCGGAAATCCTCTAGATTCTTTAAAAAAAAATTCCCGAAACAAACCAAAAAGTGAACTAAAGTGAAAGGGTAAAACAATTCCTACCTGAATTATTCTTTCGCCGATTTTCCCCCAAATAATCTGGATCACTATCAAACTAAAGATACCACAACAACTTAACACGTGCAGATTTCGAAAAGATTGTCTGACTTTTCTTTCGCATTTTATCTGTGTGACCACTTGCTTATGCCAATAGCTATATAAATATATGACCAGCTGTCCCAATTAACTCACCATTAACCTTACAGCAAAGTCTTGTTTGTATAAAGGTACTAATTGAAACAAATCTTGTACAAGGTAAAGTTTATCATGTGGTTCATTTTAAGAATTTGAAGACTATGTGTAAAATTGTTCGGATATTCTAATCATTTGATGTAGTATTTACTGCTACCAGTTACCACCCAAGCCAATGTATACGTCTTTAGCTTTCACTTTTTTTTATCGTGAGCGTTCCTGGTGAAGGTTGACCCAGTAAAAGTTACATTAATTCCATCTCGTAGTTTAATTATAAGAACATGGCTTTGTATACAAATCAAAATAAAAGCGTCAAATACAATTTCCAAATTAAAACTGCATGTCAAATATTTTTTTAGATAAGCTCGAATGTCATCTGCTATTGCATAGAACATGTCGACAGTCAAACCGCATATTGTACACCCTCCAAGTCAAAGACGCTGCTACGAACTTAATGCATTTGGTATTATGCATTGCATATTCAGGACAATTAATCCCAAAACGTTCTGCAAGGTGTGACGACAAAAATGAAGGGCGATAAATTTGGACTGCCAGTGGAAAATAGTGATATGTTTGATAGGGACAGATATTTTGCTTTTAAATTGAGAACTGTCGGAAAGTTTACCCAGCAACAACCCCAAATTTTAAGGTCCCTTTATGGTCATATAAATCTTCGCGTGTTTCGGAATTATACATCCGGGGCTTTGAGCGTTCTGCATGGAAGAACGTCCAGAAAAGCCCTTCGGATGCATAAGGTTTATAAAGTGTTATTTTCAGTTTTGTATCACTCTAGCTCAAGACCTGCTATTGATAACGATCACAGGAATTTTAATTGTCATGACAAACTAGTTGTATAGCTTTATCCATTGGCTATTGAAACTATTGCCAATAATAACAGAAATGTAAATCCAGATATATGTTTCACCAGCTGGTCAATTTCTATATTAATTATATTTGATGATATTTTCATTATAAACATGACTTTGGTTCTAGGGTTAATAAGCTATCATGTATAATACTTCACTTCATAACAGCATATAGATGTAAACATTGATGATACAAGCAAGGCGTTTTAACCGGTTAACTTCAGTTTTAGTTGTGTGTGAAGTCTATGTCTCATTGGTTTTTTGGGGCCATGGTGATTACAGTTTTTTTCTTTTCACCATGGTGATGTTTACCCTTCTTCGACTTATGATGTTTTATCGCTTCCTTGCTATCTTCCCCTTTTGTCAATTTTCAAATAATTTCATCATTTACATAAATTAAGTAATTTTGAGAAAGATGTTGATTGAGACCGGAATCGAATCGCTTAGATTCATTAAAATCAAAATTAAAATATAGAAAAATCAATAGGCGAGACTGTAACACAACACAGAGACAGATACTGGAACAAACTAAGGGAAAAAAACAAGCAAACATGCAACAGACAATGAAGAGGAACAGGGACGTTGATTGTCATTATCATTTTCATGATGACTATGATTGTCATTATCATTTTCATGATGACTATGATTGTCATTATCATTTTCTTTATGACTATGATTATCATTATTATTTTCAATATGACTGATAAACATTATCATTTTCAATAAGACTGATTATCATTATCATTTTCAATATGACTGATTATCATTATCATTTTCAATATGACTGATTATCATTCTCATTTTCAATATGACTGATTATCATTATCGTTTTCAATATGACTGATTATCATTATCATTTTCAATATGACTGATTATCATTATCATTTTCAATATGACTGATTATCATTTTCATTTTCAATATCTCTCTCTAAGACAAACACACACAACTAACCGAAAATAGTTAATGTGTTCTATGTTTTATCCGAAAAATTAAGTAATTACCATTATCATTATCTTTCTCTCACACAAACACAAAATAGTAACTGTGTTTTGATGTGTTATCCAGAAAACGAAGCCATGCTAGTAAAAAAAATTTCGCAAACTTCGAACTAGGATTTTTAAACATAAACGATCTAGCGAACTATTTTTCATTGTTTATTTTTTTTCATTTTTGAATTGAATATTAAAAATACTAACTATGTTTTCCCATAATTCATGTTTGATTTAAGGAGCGAATGTTTTATTCATATATCAACAAACCAAACATTAACTGTGATTCATTATCAATAATTATATAATTAATATTTTATTCTTCTACAAACAACAAATATTAGAGGTGTTAGATGTGAAGCTAATGACAATCAAATCATTAAACATTGTATTGGCAAACAGGCCATAACTTAAGCAACAAAATAGAACAATAGCACAATAACACAACGGAGTACTAAATCTCCTGATTAAACCTTTCCCACAGCGAGTATCATTTTTCCAAAATTCCAGTGGTTTTACTATGCCCTATTTATTTCCGCAGATTGAAAATAAATAGTCCTTAAAATACTTAATATTACAGCTAATTTTCGAGATATAAAGAGGTATCATATTTCGCATTCCGTTGAATGTGTATGAAGGAAAACTAAATAATGGAATTCAGATGAATTAACTAAAGTAAGTAAGTATTAGATACACCTTGAAGGCGTCAGCCCGAATGAGTGTATCTAATTTACACCAAGATAATTATTGTCAATGCAGAATGATAGTTTTCAATAATTTAGGAGGGTGTCTTTCAGCGATTTGATTATATATTATTGAAAAACATGGACGGTAAATGCAGAGTATCCAATTTCATTTAAAGACATCTTGGTGTAATTATATAAGCGTGTTTTGTTGAGCTACAACAAACTAAATTTCTTACTTCATATAATAGCAACATCCTGTGTTTTAAAGTTCTTATCACTTCTCCATGAAGGTTTGGTATAATAATTATGTCCCAAGAGATACGAGTTTCTCTTACATGTCTGCTAATAGTACATTGTATTCCAGAAATGATTCATAAAATTGTCAAGAATAACTGTAAACATGTTTAATAAATGATCACATTGCAGTATTGTATCCTGGGGGAGCTGAGGATAGAAGAGTTTAACTGGACGCCTTCCGTACGGTGTTATGTTGCGTGCAAACACCGTATGGGATGCAGAAACACACACTTCCGTACGGTATTATGACGCGTGCAACACCATATGGGATGCAGAAACACGAAGTCGAGTCGAGTTTCACTAAAAGGGGTTTGCTTGGAAAAATGCGTTCTTATCACATCAAAGAACCTTGGTTCTTACAAGAAATATGTATGTATACTTTTTCAAAACTAAAATCCAATTGAATCATTGTTATTTACTTAACGTCCAGTTGCAAATATTTCATCTATTTGAAGAAAAAAAAAATAACAACACATTAATCAGATTTGCAACGGGGTTTAACTGGAAAGAATGGTGGGAAAGTTGGACTGACAATGGTAAAAGAGGGTATATATTGGATAATAATTCAATTTTGGATGTAACACGTCTTCTGATTGGCTGAAAGTGTTTTGTCTATCAGCTCATAGATTCGAAATAACCTAAAAAATATGGTGCACACTTTTAAATAACCCGCTATGCTGGTTATTCAGTGTGCACCACATTTTTTATGTTATTTCTTCATAGACAGAAAAAATATTACAGTCATTCCTTATAATTTAATTCTAAATTCCATTTTTAAGGAGTAAATTTTGAAAAAAACGTTGGTGACGTCACGGTCACGTGACAAAATTATGTCAAGAACGCTTCTTCGGTATGTGTCTGAAAAGGTACTCAAAATAGATACTAGGCTTATAATTTGGTACGTCAGACGCTCTAACCGGAGACTTGCAGGTGACCATATTTCTTTTCCATGGTAAACCATTGGTTGTGATTAAGTACTTACTCTACACAGTGTGCAATGGTATTACAGAGTAAATTACGGATTGTTCTGTTGTAGTTCCATCCAATCTTTTATTTTGACAAATTCTCGTCTTTATGTGAATATGAACAAACAAGTGAAACTGTGAGCTACTGCTCACTGATGAAACCCCCGCCCAAATATTTCGGTAAACAGGAAGTTGTTGAGTGATGAATCTGAAAACGCATCACACGGTATAGCTGACTCATATAAACCCTGAAACCAAATTTCAGAAATCCTTGTAATGTAGTTCCTGAGATAAATGAGGCGAAAATTTTCATCTACTTGGATGTCATGTGTGAAATAATGTTAGTGTTCGGTAAACAGGAGGTTGTTGAGTGATGAATCTGAAAACGCATCACACAGTATAGCTGACTCATATAAACCCTGAAACGGATGGATGGGCGGACGGACGGACAGACAGACAGAGGTAAAACAGTATTCCCCCACATGCAGGGGTATAAAAAGTCGCAGAATATTATGCAACCATCGATCAATCATTCATTTAATCAATCGAATAATTTTTTGAACTTTATGACATATTTTAGGAAAACCGACAGAACATTTCCACAACCAAGACTTGGTGTCTGTATAATAGTTAAATCCTGCCATGATATAGTGTGTCTGTCCGATGTCAGGATCTCGTAAGAGTTTGTCGTAATTTTTAAAATAAGATTGGTGATATTGGGTTAATTTAGAAATTTTGTACAGATTTTTTGGAAGCTACCGTTAGATTTTTTCCGGTTTTTCTGGATCCGAGGCGATTTAATAAATAGACTTTGTCTATTGTTGTAGGCCGTATGTGTATCTTTAGTTTATATATCTTTTGATTTTGGATTTGCGGGCGAGTGAATAAATTACAATCATCAATGTTGAGTTAGGTAGCAGTTCATTCTGATATACCTCGAGAAACGACTTTAATGTAAATAAATGAATGGTCTTTAATAAGTTATTACCTTTAAATCTTAGAGATCCATCAGGAGATATGCAGACTTTAAGTTAGGCATGATTTTACAACTTAATACAACTTAATACAATAACAGATTCCTTGACCTTCTTAACTCATA